TTGAGATATCAAAAAAGTACTCCAGAGTGTTGTTCAGCATGGGGGTGAGTAGAAAATGAAGGCTAATCATGTTTTGGGTGTATTATTCCTTTAATTCTTCTTCTTGTAAGGTTTTATGGTGGTTGGGAAACTAATTGTTTAACTTAACCAAACATAATAAATACTCAATCACATTCGCCCTCATAATTTCTAATTTATCTTTAAGTTATTATGTCTGTCAGTTTCTGATGGTCCCATCATACTTTTAACCATTTCCCAGTTTAAATCTCTCACTTCAAGAAACTTTTCTGCAGCTTTCACTGTTATTAAAATGTTTTCGTTTTTTCTTGTCGTCTGTGCACTACAATTGATCATTTCAACCATGAAAAGAACAAATTCTTTCTTTTTTACAATCAGTGACTCTTCAATTTTGGGACATTACTTCAGAGGTTTTGAACTTCTCTGGTTCTGAACTGTTGGTTTGGGTTTTTCTGACTGGGATGGGATCCTTTTTGCAGCTTCAGCATAAGTTATTCCGAGCTCAAATTTCACTTTTCTAATTTCTTCAGATCTTTTACTCACTTCACACCTGCGATATGCAGCAGTATGTTCTCCACCACAGTTACAGCATGAGTTTAACTTCTTTCCCACATTTTTCATATACGTGCTCTCCTGCACACCTTCCACATCTCTGTTTTTCTTTACAGGCTGCTGCTATATGTCCAGATTTTTGGCATTTGAAGCATCTCAGAGGATTGTACATTTTGACATTGTAACTCATGTAACCAATGAAAACTTTGCTGGGTAAATGCTCTTCTTCAAATTTAATCAACACAGATAAACTGTCAGATCTTTCTCAATTTTTTGTAGTTTTTAACTGTTTAACTTCTTTTACTTTTGCACCGCTTATGTTTTCTAGAATCTTTTTTTCAGATACTTTTAGAGGAACTCCTCCAATGACTCCCCTGCTAATCTTTTTGTTCTCCACTAACTATTTTCCCCTCCATCTTGTTAATGCATATAGCTTTGCCTTGCTGAGGCTGTCTCTGCAGTTGATTAACAGGTCTCCACTATACAGTATTCTGGCACATTGGACTTCTCCTACAAGTTTATTTATTGATTTTGTTAACTGAACCAATTGAACCCAATCTGCAAAAGAGTCTGCTTGATTAACGAGTTTGAATATGAATTTGCAATCATTCTGTTTTCCGGTGGAATTTCTACATTGTTCATCACTGTTCTGAACTGGACTCCTCTTCAGTTGATCACAGTTTTTTCCCGCTTTTTCTCATTTTTTGACTCTACTCTCATCCAGCCTTCTTCGTTTTCACTATTTTCTTCTTCAATCCGACAAGAATCGCTTCCCGCTACTCAGTGCCCAGGACATTTAGCGATTTAGAAACACGCTTCCTCGATCATCAGCTGATTACTTTCAGTTTCATTTGTAACCTTGTTGGTTCAGTTTTACCCAGTTTCAAGTGACGTTGACATTAAGGCTGAATTCTCATTGGTTAATATAAATGACTCACGTCGGTTGCGCTTGTGCAGCCAGTGGTCTCCTGCTGTAAAATGTGAATTTCAGATCAGCGAGGGGACAAAGTTTTCCTTATTTTTGAAAAGCGAGATGAGGAACCATGAAGCTGCCGAGTTTCATGGTTCTTTTGGGAATATCTCTACATAATGTGACGGCAGGTAAGTTACTAAAACACTAAATAAGATCTAACGAGATTCTGAAATTTAATGATTTATTAAACTAGATTTATGTTTCTGCGTATGCTATGGTAATTAGATGTTTTCACTAGGAAATACAGATAAAGTCAAAATTATTTCACATTTGTTACAAAAACACAAAATATTAAATTCAAATAAGAGCCTCTTTTTTTTGCTATGGCAGAGGAAAGTTTTACGGTTGTTTAAATTAACTTTATAAATACTGAGCCTACTTGTCCTTTAACCCAAAGTTTCAATAAAACTGTCATATAATTATCTTTGTCGAGCAGATCCCTTATTTTGAGACCGTAATTTGTTAATACATTTTGTAAACATTTTTTTAAGCGAATGAGAACATTTTTAAAACAGCATTAATATTCTGCTTTTCCATGTCAAAAACTTGTTATTGGAACATTGCTTCCACAAAACTGTCTGCTCTCTGCAACCACTGCATGCAGAAATTGAGCTACTGTTGCATTTTCCTCCAAACCAGCATCCAACCATGCAGGGAGGCTTTAACTGGCTTCAATGCAGAGCTCACCTGTCCTCAATGGGGCAGGGACCGTCTGCTAAATACAACAACACAGAAAAAACAATTATCATCAAAAAATGTTTTTGTGAATGTGTTCTCACATCGTTCATACGTTTACTTTATTGGAAACTAAGCCTATAGCTTGAACAGACAAATATTCAGTCCCTTTTGTATGAATCAAAACAAAGAATCAAAACAAATAGTCTTTTTTTCTATAAATCAGATAGCTTTGAATAAAAGGATTTCATTTTAATGTTGTAGGGAAATCATATTTGGATGTGAAATCATTCTGGCTTAAACATTTATATAAATGTACTCTTTATTGGACCATATTGTCCCCAAAGTTAGACCTTTTTTATTTAAAAAAACAAAATCCTGTCTCAAAGTCTGTTTTTTTTTAAATTATTTTATGGAGGCCAGTTGGTTATAAGTCAGCTTTAACACCTAAATTCGGCCAATCATATATTAACGGTCATCTGTCAATCAAATATTTTCGTTCATAGCATCTTGATTCATATACTCATATCTCACAGCTAATATACACAACGGTTGAAATCAGAATAATTTCCTTTTCCATTGAGTTGCGTCCCAGTGTTCACGGGGATGGACGTCTGTGTCTTCAGCAGGCGTAGAGCTAACAGAACTGGCAGCGTTGTACCTGTGGGATTTTTAATTTTTTGTATAATTTCTGTATAAATCTATCTATCAGTTTCTTGTTTACGTTTTCCGTATCGCAAGAAATTTCTTTGACTTGGATCCATTTTCATAATAATTCTGTTTAATAAATGCGGCCTTTTCTAAATCTGGTGTTCATATAAACAGTTTAGAGCTTGTCTTGTTTCTCCTATATGTAGTAGGGTTTGTTCATTGTTATTTTCCATTTGCTGTATTTTTAAAGATTTTAATTTTATAGTAAGATTGTTTAGACATTTCTTTCTTTTATTTTATGGTAGGACCACATAATTAACTTCCCACTTAGAACAGTTTTTGCTGCATCCAATAAAATACAGGGAGAAATATCTATACATTATTGTGGTCCATATAGTCTTTGAATTATTTTTCTACAAAGCTGTCAAATTAAGTATTATTTAAAAAACTACTATTAAGCCTCCACAAGGTTCCTTTTGATCATTATCCAGGTGGAGTGTCATATACACCCCTGCATGATCAGATATATCTCTCACCCCTATGTCACAGTTAATTATTTTATGTTTATTGACATTTTGTATAAAGAAATAGTCTAATCTTAAATGCATATGATGAGAATAAGAAAAAAAGGAGTATTTTTGTAAGTTCCTCCATACATTTACCCAGCCTAATTCTTTAAACATTCTTTTAATCTATATTACTTCTTTCTAATCCATTGTAGTTTTGCTGGATGAGTCAAGAAAGGGTTTAAGTGAATGTTTCAGTCTTCCCCCCTATATCAGTAACCCAGATGCTTCTATTTCAATCGTGTCAAAAATGTCCTAATAAAATGTTTATTATTTCCGGGTGGCCTATACACATTCACTAAGGTAACTTCTTTATGGTCTATGTATCCTTTGAACTGTATATTCTATCCTCCTTTGTCTATAATTTGTAAGGAGAACTGAAAATTGAACTTACAAGACAATAACATCGCCCTAGAGCTGCTTTTTGTATATGAAGACAAATACACATTTTTAAACCCAATTTTGCACAATTTTTCACATTCAGCAGTAGAAAAAAAAGATGTTTCTTGGCCAAAATGATATCTTGTTTTTCTTGTTTTTTCATCTTTGCAATCACTCATATACCCTCTGTATGCCCAGAGTGATGTCCGTAAGGGGAGAGTTCAGTTTTTATAAAATTCTCTATGAAGTTTTACAAGTTATCACCTTCTTCTCCCTCTGTGACCCCATGGATATGAATTTTATTCCTGCATAAATTGGCTTCCAGATATAGAAGTGTTTGTAGGTCTTTTTGGACATCCATGTTGAATTCTTCTACCTCAGATATTCGCTGCTCAGCCTCCTCAAATCTCTTCATTAAGTCTTTCAGGTCTGCAAAAATGTCGTTCAGCTGTTTCCCCATCTCTTTTCTAAACTCAGACAGTGATTTGTTTATTGAGGTTCGTCTGAACTTCTTTCAGCTCTGTAACAAAGTTAGCTCCCATAGCTCCATAGCTTTATCCGCTGCTAGCTTGCTATCCTCAGAAACCCTCTTCGATAAAACGTTTTAATACTAAAAACAGTGTTTTATAAGTTATTTGTTAGGGTGTCAAATTTGGGAGCTCGGAATTTATGCTGTTACTTGCTTCTCCGCCATCTGGAAGTCCACCATTTTTTTTAAAGAATTTTAAATGCTGACTATAAACCTTTTTTTTTTGTTTTTGTTTGAAAGGTTCGTCAAATGTAAACTATAATTAAACAGAACAATTAGTAAAACACAGTATGTATGCCATTAAGATTCTAAATAAAGTTTTGTCTAATCAGAATGTAAAGGATTTAAATCAAAACAGAAATATTAAATAAAGTTGACTGTTAAACAATAACATTTTTATTTGTAGTGAACAAAGTCCCCAGATATTATTAAAAGATGAAAACTTTCCTAATTGTCTTCTTTTATTGTCTAATTTTTTTATTAGTAATGGTGTTTAGTTTATTTAACTTGTGTGAAGAAAATGTTTATTTATTCTATCATTTATAGATTTTTAATTCATATTGTTATTTTTATTTTTTTTTAGTTATTCACTCCCTGAAGTATCTCTACACGGCATCGTCTCAAGTCCCAAACTTCCCAGAGTTTGTGGCTGTTGGTTTGGTTGACGATGCCCAGATAATTTACTATGACAGCAACACCCAGAAAGCAGTGCGTAAACAGGACTGGATGAATGATGCCGTAGATCCAGAGTTCTGGGAGAGAGAGACTGGCAAGTTTCAGGGTCTCCAGCAGGAGATCAAAGTCGAAATTGAAATTGCAAAGCAGCGTTTTGGCCAAACTGGAGGTTTGTGTTTATTTAACCATATTGATTGTTTTTGTTGTTGCTTCCACAATGGATTTGAAATGAAACAAACAAGATGTGCTTTATCTGCAGACTTTCAGCTTTAATTTGAGGGTATTTACATCCAAATCAGATGAACGGTGTAGGAATTACAACAGTGTGTATATGTGCCTGCCACTTTTTAAGGGACCAAAAGTAATGGGACAGATTAATAATCCTAAATCAAACTTTCACTTTTTAATACTTGGTTGCAAATCCTTTGCAGTCAATTACAGCCTGAAGTCTGGAAGGCATAGACATCACCAGACGCTGGGTTTCATCCCTGGTGATTACGTCACGCTGCGTGTGACGTAATCACTGAGCCGCGTCAGTGCGGGCAGCCCTGTTCTTAATCAGACTATAGATAGCTTCGCTGTCAGTACGCCAACAACATGCAAAAGCGTAAATGTATGTTTACCAACGATTTACAGAAGAGTTTCCCCGCTTTCAGACCGGGTCGAGACAAATGGGAGGCCTCGTGCACAGTGTGCAAAGCAGGCACATATGTCTCGGTGTCCAATGGAGGTGCAAGGGATCTGAAAAGCCACCTGGACACCGAAAGTAAAGCTAGTCTATTGATATGTTTGTTTGTTTTTGGTATATTTTGAATAATTTTTGCTACACAAGAGGTATTTTTTGTTAATTAGTTCATTTGTTAATTTATTTTTTCCAATAATCTACAGAACAGACATTATTTAATTCATTGCTGAAGCTGAGTATCATGTGTTATTGGGAGTTGAGTTATTGTTAACTTTTATTGTTAAGTGAGGGATGTTGAGATGAGACATTATTTCTTTCATTGTGCTATTCATTCATTACAGGAATTGTTAAGCATTTTTAATAAATACATTTTGAATGAAATTATCGTTTGTTATTGTGAGATGATTAAATTCGAAGCAGCAAAACATGCGGAAATGATCCAAGGTTTCCGCGGATCATAAAAAATAATTACAATCCATAAATTTTTTTGGATTTTTTTCATTAATTTTTATGGGATTTCGGTAGAGATGCACGATATATATCGGTCACCTAAACTATCGGGCCGATTTGGGCTTATTTTCTATCGGCCCGATAGCCATATTTTCCCGATAAAA